TGCTCTCAAGAAGAGAGCATTTGGTGGGAAGTCTCTCCCCACTGACTCTTCTCTGATTATTCCTCTGTTGCAGACTGTTGTCTAAACACACACATGGGAAAGTGATTTGTTTTCCTCCCTCTTCACTCCAGTAGTGGAATTCCCAGCATTACTTTGCACATACTCTTATTGCCCCATTGAATTGCCCAGAAAATGGAGCCATCTGCCTACTAAAGCAGGGAAGGGAAGAGGACCCACTTATTCAACATCTGGGCTGGAAATCAAGCCTTCCGTCTCTCCTTCTCTCTCCTCTGTTTCATCTCCTCCTACTGCAGGGGGGCAGGAAGCAAGGGACTACTGGAGTTTATAGTAACTCTTTCCTCACCCTTTCCCTCCTGGCAACAGCTGGAAGGAAGCAAATAGAATAAATGTGGCAACATTCCAAATCCCAGGAGAAAGCTTGAGAGGCACTCACAGAAGACAATGCCACAGGGGTGGAGCTGCTAGAGACAAAGGAAGCTGTACATGCACACACACACAAAAAAACCACATCCATCTATGTATCTATGTATCCAACCATCCATGAAGAATTCAGGAGTCTTGTTCCCAATATTCAAATGTATTTGGGTTGGCATAGCAGAACAACCTAAGTCAAAGCATTACTACGGGTAGTGATTACTTTCAAGTAATGACCCAGAAGAAAAAGTCATCCATCATAAATGGCATTTTCAAAGTCAACTTCAACTTACAACCTGCATACACCCATACTAGTCCCAGAGATAGAACCCAGGGATTTCTATACCCCAGAAGGCTCCCAATCGCCCTCTTAAATCTCCCCTCTAGACCATTTCACATCCACACCCTTTCAGTGCTTACCAACTGGCTGTGCTGGAGACATTTCAGCTCCCACATGGTAGGGTCAAGCAGCAGGACTCCACAGGCATCCCTACTGGAGGAGGAATGAGATAAGACAGGGTGCCAGTGACAGGGAAAGGGAGTTTGCCATGGTGCTTCAAGGCTGCATCAATGGCTGCTGTGATAACCCTCCCTGATCAAAGTCTCCACTGTTCCCATCTTGACTGTGCCATCACAGAGCCACACGGGGCTAAAGGGTCCATTATCCCATTGACACAGAGCGCTCACAGCTCTGATACATGGCACTGACATCCCAGAGAAAATGGAATGGGGTGGGGAAAAGCAGAGTCTGGAAGCACAGAATGAAGGCCCTTGCTGGAGTTGGGAGAAAGAAAGCAGTTATTGCCGGCTGGGATTATCAGCTGAGTGGAAGACTGTGAGGAGCAGCAAGAGGACAGGTCAGGACATGGGTTGAGTTGAACTCCTCAATAGAGAACAGAAGGCTTCTTTGTGATTTGTTTGTATGGCGTTGTTGATCAATTGGAGGGGGCAGATAGAGAGATGCCTGACTTTGGCAGTGATGGAGATATTTTGTTCTTTGGTTTTAGTCTGTGGAAGAAAACCTCATTCAACAGCCCAAGACTGACCAGAGACTTTGCAATCAGCAAAAGAATTAAGCCAGCTGAGGCCAGGCCAAAGCATTGCACGCAGAAAACCGTGACACCAGAAGACCACGACACCCTCATCCTCCCAATTTGGAATTTTGGACTCCCAAATTTCTCCGGCTTTTACTGGTGCAAAGAAATAGTAATGCTTGATGTCTCAAGCTCTAGGCCTCTCCAGTGTTCAAAATTCCCTAGACAGATCACCAACAGAGCTAGTGCAAAATGAATGCGGGCTGGCTCCTGGGGATCAAAGCCTTGCTGATTCGTACCGTGACGCCAATAGCATGCTGCCACATAAGGCAATTGCATTGGTCCACCATTAGTTGGTGGGTGCATGAAAGGGGCTAGACTTGACTGAACATGCCTTTGAGAGTCTGACCATACACCACCAACAATCCAAACTACTACGGATCTGATTTCCCCGTTATTCCTTGGAAGCAGCCCTTTTCTCTGCCTCTCTCCAGCAATACTAGCTCCCCTCCCACATTCGCAATTCCCAGGCAACCCGGAATGATTCTTCTATCACTGGCTTCTGGAAGCTGAAAAATCTGTGAGATTTGGCTGAAAGAAGGAGTGGACATTTCTACAAGAGAGGGGAGGCAGCATTTATAGCCATTGATGGGAGAGGAAAGACTAGGTTACCTGTGTGTGGAAGAGATATCGAAATTGAGGATTTGGGAAGGTCTTGCTTCATCTAGGGTAGCTTGAGTTACATGGCCTTTCCTGCTACTGCAGATACTGTCCCTCGATTCTGTGCTGCATTTGCCTTAGTGACAACCAAAGCCTCCCTCATTTGGAAGAAAGAGAGCTTGAAAAGGTGTCAAGGTCAGCAAGAAGCTGCAGTTCCTTGGCGGGTACCCAGCACAGCCGCCCCCACAGCGGGAAGCAGGCGTGGGGAGAGCGATGCCACTCTAAAGGCTGCTGAATGCCCCCTTTGTCTGGCTCAGGGTAGGGGGGTAGAGATAGCGACACCCCTGATAAGAGTCCAGAGGCTGAGAGACTCTAACTTAAGGAGTTTAGGGCTCATCGCCTGAACTCTCGAGGCCTCCCAGAGCTTGACCCAAAAAGGTAGGAAAGAAGGGCAGCCCCCATTCTCAGCCTAACACACCAAGGCACCCGTGCACGCTCTGCTCCAGGCTCATCCTCACCCACCTTAATGCATGGGAAAGAGGGCTGCTGTCTCAAAGGGCAGAAAAACCTACAACCTAGCAGGAGAAAAGCATAGTTTTTTAGTGCCTTCTAAGATAAGAGGAGCTAGGACAGGAAAATACACCAAGGACTGAACAAGTATCAAAGCAAGTCATAATGTTAAGGGAGAAAAAAGAGACAATGGTAAATATGGGCAAATGCGATGGTAACACTGTTTGGGGCAGAAGTTGGTGACCTGCCACAGAATGCTCTGTTTCCTGACTCCAGACACATCAGATTTTAGGGCACATGGCAATTGCCCCACTCAGAGGCACACAGTCCCCTCAAAAATCCCTCAAGATCTCTGCCCATTTTAGTTCTCTTCCACGTACACACATACCACATACTCACACACCCCAGCATCTCAACCCCATCCCTTACTTACAACAGCCGTAGGCCCTGGGCACACACCTGCTCCTTGAGCGGGAAAGCAGGTTCTCCCTTCACCTGGAAGGTGCTTGGTGCTGCTGCCTTTCTACAGGCTGCTCTGCTCGGCACCAGGTGATACAGTGGTGAACCCAACCCACCACCCAACGTCATTAAACGCCCACACCATCAAAAAACGGTGGGCGGCCTCTGATAATTCCTCACATGCAGCAGCAAGTGGGTTTGAAGCCACAAGACAGCTGAACACCAGAACTGCGTATCCAGCAAGTGCCTGGGACTGAGTTAGGACTGAGACACATCCTCCCTTGCTGAGTAGGGCAGGTGTAATTGGCATCAGCAAAAACAAAAATCAGATGCTCTGGTGGGACTGAAATTCAACTCTGCCACGCCGATCCACGGCAATCTCAAAGAGGAGGAAAGAACGAGGAAGAGAAGGGAGGGGGGAATCACTATGTTTGTTATACAATTTGAGCAGACATGAAGCCCACTTTGCTGGTAGATAGGAAACACAGGCACTAATTTCTCACCCACTGCCTTAGGTGAGGGGAGGAGGGGGAGAAAGAGAATAATAATGCTTGGAGTTAGAATCATGTGCTTCTTGGCAAATCCACACTTCTTTGGCATCACTATCAGCCCCCTGCTTAACTATGCAAAAACTTTTGGGGGAAGGTGGTGTAGCAAGATCGCCTTTTTTGCCCCTTCCCTTTCTCCTTCCTCTGTAACTTCACACCCCTTTGGAAAGACTAGCAACCAACAAACACCACTGTTAGTGTAATAGCTGTGTAATTATATAGCCAAGTCTGTTTTGGACTTCTTTCTCTTCAATAGCAGAGGGTTTGTTTTGAGTGGGAATGTACAGAGGTACCCACCTCGTCCACACAAGGCAGCTGCACAATTGTTCACCCTCAGAAAACATCACAAACTGTATTACACCTGATTGCCCAGGAACAGATGCTGCCTCTAAGCAACAGCCTAACCCCTCATGAGTGCGCCTGAAGCAGTTCCCACTCCAGTAGCCCCCTGTATGAAATTCTTCCCCAGAGGCATATACAGCCCCCACTTTGCTAACATTTCCTAAATAGGTTTAAGTCAAACCTGTTGGTCCCAGCTGAATGACTGCAGGTTCCTGTCTTGGGTTTTAGCTTTGCTTTGGATGGTTGGTTTTGGCATTGATTAGATTTAGTTACGGTCTTACTGCATTTTTTTGGTTTGGTTGGTGTTGGTTTTGGGAGGTTTTGGGCGTAGTTTATAAGTACTATGAAATAAACAACACACATTTGCTAGGTCCATTAACACTATTGCACTAAGCCACATAAGCCAAAGTTTACCAACCAGAAAAATTGGGCTCATGCACCAAACCAAAGCCAAACAAATGACATTCCGGGTTAAGGCAATGTGTGAATCCAGCCAGAGTGGGAGGAGGGGAGAAAGAAAGGGGAATGGAAGCATGACTTCTCCCTAAATTCAGCAAATGATGAGTGGGCGTGGCAGTTTTTCCAGAATGCTCACATATTCTCCCAATTGTCCCCTCCTTGGTTGGTATTTTTTTAAAAATACCTTAAGTTTAGGCTTTGTGGTTTGATAAGAGAAAGACTTAGGAGATAAGTATTTAGACCACTTAGTACATCTAATATAAAGATAATATTTCATAGTAACAGTAGGTTTGCATGTAAAACAGCTGATGTGAGGAAAAGGGTACAAAACCCAAGTTGTGACCCGGATTCCAGGATCAGAGTCACCAAGCTAAAATCAGGTAGGGGACAGCATCTTAAATAATTTATTTTACATTTAAAAAGTTATAAAGCTGAATTGTCTCTTCAATGTAGAGATGAATGCAACTCCTTCATACACCCTGTGATGAAGCTTTATGATGATTGGAACTTTTCAATGCAAAGGCTATCTCCATTCTAGGTTGTGGTGGCCAAACTTATTTTGCTTTTTACAGGCAAAATCGAACTACAGCTAACTACAGTCATTCTTCAACAGGATACTATAATCACCCTGGCACAGCCACCTGGCATCCTCCCTCTGTGCTGCAAGTGGAAGGACCAGCTTGTCTGTTTATTCAAGCTGGACTTTCTGGTGTTGCAGATTTGATATATCCCGAAGGCCAGTAAGAGGGGAGAAGATTGCCCAAGCCAAAGAATTCATCCTTGCACCTCTCTCTCTCCCTCTATCAAGAATACCATCTTTTCCCTTTATTTCCCCCCTAATTTCCATGTTTTGTTAGGAGAAAGAGAAGCATTGCTGCGGCTGATGTTAGCCATAGTGCTGACAAGTTTCAACAGGCCTGAAAACACCAAATACCAATTGAGTAGACCTCCTCCTATCTGAAGTGTGGGTCTCTCTGTAGTTACATGGGAAATGCAGTCTGCACTTCTTTGGGGACAACTCAATCTGCTTTTAAATCCTTAGGAAGAATCCTTTTTGCAAAGTAATCTCTCCTCCTGTATCCAGTTTTTAAAAAACCTCATCAGTAATCCTTCCTTGTTCAGGATATTTCACAGAATCACAATGAAGGTGAACGTTCCCCATAATTTGTATAAACCTGATCTCAGTTCTGTAGTTTATGTAGTCAGCTCAGATTAACAATTGCAGGGAAACTGCAATGCACATTCCTACCCAACAACAGACCTTAACACAGATCTGGAGGGAGGGGGGGGGGGAAGAAGTGAATACACAAATCTGAGTTTTCTTCTTTCAGTAGGCAGAATACTTGTATTATCTTCTTCCAGTCTCCAAATCTGCCAATTTCCAACCCCTGCCAGGCACTTTTCGACTTCGTCTACTTTAAGAAGCACCTTTCGAAGAAATTTAATGTCTAGATTGGGCAGGGGGGGGAAATAATAGGGGGAATAATGCGGGCGAAGAAAACTCTGATGAGGGCAGATTAAAAAAGATGAAGGGAAAGAATGCCTGCAGCGAGCAGAGAGGGGCGCTGAATGAAGAAAGGGGAGGGAAAGCTGTGGAAAAAGGTGTGGAGCGGCGGAATGCCTGGAGAGCGATCAAGAGAGAGAGAGAGAGAGAGAGAGAAAAGGGAGCGTTGCTGGCAAGAGAAGGAGTCGTTAAAGAGGCAGCAAGGGGAAGAGGGTCCACGGGATGGGTCGCCCCTGAGAAGTCGAGCGAATGCTTCGGGGCATTCTTTGACCAGTTCTTTCTGCTCGGTTCTTTCTGCACTCGAGCAGCGGCTCCGAGAGGGAAGCAGAGTAGAGAAACCGCGGTGGCAGAAAAGCATATGAGGATCGCTGGAGGTACGGAACACATGTGATCGGTCCCTAAGAAAAGATCCTAGAGGGTGCCCGAAGGCGCATCCTATAGACACCCCGCTGTCCCCCCTTTCTCCCTCTCGCCGTCCCCGCCAGCGCTACCTACCTGGCCAGCGAAGTTCAGAACAACTTGCGACCGTCCGCCGCTCAAAGCCAGGAGCCGCTCCCGGGCAGCGGCACCGCTCGATCTCTTCGCCAATCTCCCCATAATGCACCGCTGCCAACTCCGAAGTCTCTCCTCTGCCGCCGGCAGCCCCGTTCCAAGCCGAGCCGAGGCAAGCCAAGCCAAGCCAAGCCGCCACCTCCCCAAGCCAGAAGGCCGGCTAAGAATTGGAGGGTCAGGAGCGCCCCCTGCTGACTGAAGTGAGCTAAAGGCGTCCCAGGGGTTCTTGGAGATTCGCCGGTCTTCAGTCCCGGCCGCCGGATCTTCGAATGTGCGACTCCGCACAGCAGGTTGGGGCAGTTTTAAGACGGTTCCAGTTGGATGCCGCCATTCTCTGTAATGAGCAGCCCATCTTTGTATCTGTCCTTCCTCATAACGTCAATGGGGAGAAACAGCACAGATGCAAAGACCGTCTCTTCCCTTTGTAGCTGCTTTACTGAGCTTTGCTCGCTGATGGCTCATTAGGTTACCTTGACTGCAGGTGGACTGCCAAGATCCGGACGGCCGTTAAACTGTAACCGAGAAATTTAGATTGTTCCGCACTCCCCTGCTGCCATCTAGTGGTCATCGGATTTTTGTGTCCCAAATCTGGTCACTTTAAGGTTCATTTAACAGTGGCTTTCTTCCACGGATTTGGTTCTGATGTACAGTTCCCACTACCTTACTAATAAAACAGATGTTTGCCCTGGTTTAATTGTTTTCCTGTATATTGAAGAGAGTGGGATTGGAGTGTCTTCCAACTCCATATTTCTTGGATTCTATGTACTTGTTTCCCAATCTTGCTTCAGAATGCCAGCATTCTAAATGATTACGGGCTGTTTTCAGTTACATCAGTGGTTCTCAACCTTTTTAATGCCGCGACCCCCAACCGGTCGTAAATCGAGGACTAAACCGGTTGTAAGTTGAGGACTTTCCCTGCCCGGGAGCACTGCACATGCGTGGTGCCGCCCCCTGCGCTGGCCGAGGCATAGCTGGCAAGCAGCAGAGACAAAGCAGGCCGACCACCGGCTTGGCCACCAGCTGGCCAAGCCCAAGGGAGGTAAGGCACCCGCCAGGCCCCACGCGCGCCAGCAACCCTCCCTGTGCCCGCTGGCCTCCCACCTCCCACCCCTGGCCCTCTTTTACTTACATTTTTAGTAGTTGCTCAGCAGGGAGGGGTGGAAACTTCCAAACAGCTCGCCTTCGCTGCAGACAACTTGCAGCACCGTTTGCAGAATGGGACTTTTGGCGGGCTCAGCAGGGCAGAGACAGCCTGGACAATTCCTATTGGCTTTTGAAAGCCAATAGAATTAGACTCTATTCAAGAGAGTCTATTCTATTGGCTTTCAAAAGCCAATAGAATAAAAGGGAGTAGCACAGCTAAGGAAAAGAGGAAAAAATGGCAGACTGCGTTGTTTGGCGACCCCCGTGAAATGGTCGTTCGACCCCAAATGGGGTCCCGACCCACAGGTTGAGAACCACTGAGCTACATTATCTATATTCACCCTTAGTTTTAATTTAAACTGACTCAGATATCCATACATGAGCCTGCCATGTGTGCTTGCAAAGTTCTGAGTCCAGAAGAGAAGTTTGTTTGTTTGTTTTTTTAAAAAAAGATGTTTGTGCAAATCCTCTACAGATAATCTCTAGAATTCTGTAACTTTGGCTGCATTTTTTTTTAAAAAAAATGAAAGTTTCGTGTACACAGCTAGTCCAATAATCTGTGCACATGTTCATATCTACTGCCAGTGGGAAGAAGGAAAGGAGAGAGGATTTGAGATAGATAAGCAGCAGAAATGTAAGGCATAAACATCCCTTTGTAACCTGTCTATAAATGTGAATGAGATCACAGTATGCTTTTCAACCAAGCATACGGAACAGCCATGAAATGTACCAACACTACAGGTTCATCTGCACAGCAACACCAATGCACTTTCTTCCCATCCTAGAGATATGAGAAAAGCAAGTCAGTGGAAGAAATGCTTCCCCCACAGCTTTTTCTTTCACTGTACCTTAGCAACAAGGCCAGGATTGCTGCTGCTTCATAGAAAGTAATGTGGGCTACTTTCAGGCAGCAACTGGGTCCCTTTTGGAGATCTCAGTATGTGGCAAGTCCCCTGTCTGGTCCTGGAACCAGTTTGAAGATTGCCCAAGTCTTCTTTGATTAAGAAGCCATGACACATGTGTGGGGTTATATCTCTGGGTTGGATTCAGTGGGACTTCTGCTCCAGTGAAATTGCCTGTAGGGTGACATTGGGGAGGGGAAAGAATATATGATATTAGAAAAGATTAAGATAAGATAAGATAAGATAAGATAAGATAAGATAAGATAAGATAACCTTTATTGTCATTTTTATACTGTGGACACGATGGCACACATCAAAAATAAAATTTAGTTGCCCACTCTCAAAGTGAAACATATACATGACACACACCTAAACATACTATGAACAACATCTGTATAGACCAGGGGTAGGCAACCTTGGCTCTTTTATGACTCGTGGACTTCAACTCCCAGAATTCCTGAGCCAGCATGGCTCAGCTTGGAAACCTCTCCCTTTCCCCTCAGCATGGCTGGCTCAGGAATTCTGGGAGTTGAAGTCCACAAGTCATAAAAGAGTCAAGGTTGCCTACCCTAGGTATAGACCCACATCCCTACATATACATAGCAAATAAATATTAAATATTGTCCATCTTGAATATATAACGGAAGGAGGAAGCTTGAGAGTTTGCAAGGTTAATGCTGTATGGAATGGCTGAATCTGGATGTTCTGCTTCGGATACCACAAAGAATTGCTGTCTGGTTGTGTAAAATGGAGGAGGTACAACAAATAAAGTGACATTGCATGGTCAAACAGAAAAAAGGTTACCTATAGATAGACGTTTCCAGATCCTAACCTGCAACAGCCCCATTACTCTGAAGTTGTAAAGACCACTGAATGTGTGCTACAGTATTTAACTAGTTATCTGGGGCTCTGCTTATGGAAGGAACTACATCCAAAGTATGTTTCCAGTATTTGGAATATTTCAAAGGCTCAGAAGTGACATATTTTTCATTGAAGGCAGTATAATAACAAAGTGAAAATATAATACTTTTGTTTTCAGTTTCCCCTGAAGCTCTTGTTTCGTGGGCCATTGGTGGACATTCCGCAGACGAAAAATGATAAAGGATAATAAAGCATGGCCATGGAATGCAAGAGGAAGAAAGAAGGTCCAACCTTCAGTCTCCACCATATACTACCCAATTTCCGCTCAGGAAATCAAGGATCAAGCAATGGACTGGAACAGAAATGAGAAAACATTGGTGGATTGCGAAAAAACTCAAGTAGGTAAGCAACAATTGTTTCTGGTGCAGAAAATGATTTTTGCAATGAGTTTGGAAAGTTTCACTAGACTTTGGTCAAATCCAACCTGAGTTCTAAAGAAATAGGGTCATTCCCTTTTCACCAATCCAATGGTAAGGCTCAGGAAAGTCCTATTTTTCTGCACCTAATCCCTTCAAAACCAGCATCCCTAATTTTGCCATTTGGAACGTGCAACTCCGCACAGCAGATTGGGGTAGTTTTAAGACGGTTCCAGTTGGATGCCGCCATTCTCTGTAATGACCAGCCCATCTTTGTATCCGTCCTTCCTCATAACATCAATGAGGAGAAACAGCACAGATGCAAAGACCGTCTCTTCCCTTTGTAGCTGCTTAGTGTAAGACATGGGTGTCAAAAAATGTCACAATAGGTCACGATATGTCACGTGATGCGATAGGTCACGTGATGTATTGTGACCTATTGTGATTTTTTTTTGCCTTTACGGAGCTGGGGTGGGCGTGGCCTGCATGTGATGCATTCGGCCCGCAGGCTACCAAGCTCTTCTGCTGCTTAGAAGGGGTGAGGTGACAGTATTGCTTAGTTATCACTACCCTAAATCACCTGGCTTACCTGGTCACCTGCTCCCAATGCAATGTAGCAACTTTCCTTTCTTGGATTCTTTTTTAGTTGGGTCAGACTAAAATTACCATTGTTCTCAGCTCTCCTGACGTTGTTTTTCTCACACTAGGGCTGGGAAAAGACTCAGTAAACAAGCATAAAAACAATGGACCGAGGGCACCCATGATGTATGCATGCATTCCAGTGCACAGTGGGATATTAAGCATGGTGGGCACTGGAGGTTATAACAATACTCTGGAGGGACCTGTAACTTGCAGCTGCTCTTTCAATCATGGCTCTTGCAAGGGGGAAGCCACAACGAGGATCTTTTGGCCCAGCTATGGTGGTATATCAGCTGCATCCCTTTCTGGAGGAAAAAATGGCTCTGGCAACAGTAACTCATAAGTTTATCACCTCTAGACTGGATTATTCCAATGTGTTTTATCTGTAGCTGTCCTTGAAGACTACCTAGCAACAAGAGCTGGTGTAGGATGCCTCCTGCACAAGCAAGAATAATTCAGCAATATATCAACAGTACCCAGTGCCATCTCAAGGCCACATTAGCTGATAGTGCAACCTCCCACTCATGGGAAATTTGCATTTTTAGAATGATTTCGAAGGAAGGGTTGCAACCTTATGCTTTGGTGCCTAACAGCTTGGTTCTTAAATAAAGCAGTCACTAATGAAACTAATGATAAAACTTTAGATTTCTTTGAATTCAGTTGAATACTTCATTTGGCCAATTAAACCATTAATTGTGATGAGATACACAAGGAATTTGTCTCGGGTGCAGAAACTCTCAGTGTACATGCAAAGCAATAGAATAATTGTAATACCAATAAAAGGGGGAGTAAAGAAGATAATAGGGCTAAGTAATATTACAGCCATACTGCATGGGTATATATATGGACATTAGGCAACACTGTGAGAATTAGGTGTTCATCAGAGTGATGGCGCAAGGGAAAAAACTGTTCCTGTGTCTAGTTGTTTTGGTAGACAATGTCCTCTAGCTCTGTCCAGAGGGAAGGAGTTGAAACATTTTATTTCCAGGTATTATGAACGGTTTGCTATCTTCTCAGCTCTCTTTCTTTTTTTTTTAAAGAAAATTTTATTGATTTTCGAGTTTTATATTTAAATATTTAAAAAGCAACATGGTGGCTGAGTTAATCAATAATTCAATAACATCCAAGTATCTTTAATACAAATCTCAAACTACTACATTAGATATTTCCTCTCTTATCCCCTTCGTATTTACTATCTCATATTTAAACTAATACAATTCTTATTATATTGATTACATAAAAATAACTTTCTTACATTTATCAATATATATATATATTCAAGAACATTGGTAAAAATGCGGGCATAATTATGAATAAAAGAATAAAAGACGATCACCGGGAGGGTAAGAATACTTTACTAAAAATATACTTATACTAAAAAGTTGCCAAGCTTTCGCTGGGGGAACTCCTCAGCTTCGTCAGGGCTAAAAGGCCATTACAATAAAGGTGGTTTAAGTAGGTTCAAGTAGCGTTTGCGCACGGCTCCTAGCCCGTGTTACTGGCCCTGATTGGCCAGCTGATAACCAAGATGTGTCTATATTTATGGGAATATTGAATATTGAATTCCATCTACTCTGATATAAAATTTACCATGGAGGAGGAAAAACATAACACCCTTGCCTTCTTGGATGTATCTATCCATCGCCAATTGGATGGATTCTTACATACAAAAATGTTCCGTAAACCAACTCACACGGACAGGATCCTCCATTATCAGAGTAATCATCCAGTTTCCCATAAAATCAGCTGCATTAAAACGTTATTTAAGCGCGTTGACTCCCACTGCAGTACGGATGAGTATAGGAATGAAGAGAGGAGACACCTCTTTCGCATATGCCGTTATAATGGTTACCCATTAAGATTCATCAGATGGCATAGCGTAACAACTCATCTCCGGGCCAACCAACGTAGAGAAGAACCCTACTTACAGAGAACACGCATCTCCCTCCCATACATTAACAATATCTCAGAGGCCACGGCCAGATTGCTGGCCCCCCATGGAATAGAGGTGGCTCACAAGCCAAATCAAACTCTACGGTCTAAAGCAGTGTTTCCCAAACTTGACAATTTTAAGGCATGAGGACTTCAACTCCCAGAATTCCACAGCCAGCGTTGCTGGCTGTGGAATTCTGGGAGTTGAAGTCCTCATGCCTTAAAATTGTCAAGTTTGGGAAACACTGGTCTAAAGTCATGCGCCCAAAGGACCCCCTACCTCCTATGGAGAAATCATCTGTTGTCTATAAGATCAATTGTAAAAATTGCCAAGGCAACTATGTGGGGGAAACAGCCAAACGCCTGAAGACTCGCCTTCATGAACACCAATTGGCTATAAAACGGGGTGAGCAGCATTCACAACTTTGGATGCATATGGCAGAGGAGGGCCATCAATTTGACTTTGCTAATACCTGTATCATAGCTAGTGATGCCACGAAGGGAGGCCGGCTACTGAAAGAGGCCTGGTTCTCAAATGACAGCTCAATTAATCGTCACATTGACTTGCATCCAGCGCAACAAGCGCTGCGGAAATGGGACTCAAATTACCACTCATTACATTGCAAGCGATCATACCAACACTTGCGGCATTATGGACAGGAAGCCGCACCCCCCCACCGTCGGGAATGCCTGCATACGGACATAAATAACTATACCATCAACACCCCCTTGCCAGGTGACCGGTGCCGGATTGTGCGGCGAGAGAGTCTCCCACCCCAACATGTGGACGCTGGAATAGAGGCTACGGACTCCCCGCGCACGGAGAAAGAAAGGGAGGGGGCGCCTGATACGGACGATCCACGCAGCGCCCAACAACCCCATGTGAGGCTCACACACCCCGAGGAGGGAGGAAGCGATATCAGTGGAGCCGGAACACCTAAAAGACTTAACGCTAAAATCTTGGAGTGTGTGGTTGCCCATAGCAACAAAGAGGAGCGTCCCACATGGAGAGGGGAGAGAAAGCATAGAATGACAACCTGCTCGATCAGCAAGGGGAAGAGTAATGAGAGCGGTTTGAGTGCCAAACAACGGGAGGGAACGGATGTAAGGAAGACTGGGGTGGGGAATAAAGACATGATTGCTGAGGCATACCATACTCAGATAAGAGCTGTGGACACAACAAAGGAGGAGAGAGGTATACAATTGGGAAGGGATATTAACCCACAGTTAGTGGAACCCTATTCCCATCATAAGATACAAGAAAACATCAGATCGAACCCTCCCCCTGATACGGCAGGCATTGGTATTATCGGAAGAGGAGGGGATGCAAGGTTACTAACGCCTCCAAAGACCAATAGTGGAGGGATAGGGAAGGGCATCCGGAGAAAAGAACATAACGTTATAGACACATCTTGGTTATCAGCTGGTCAATCAGGGCCAGTAACACGGTCTAGGAGCCGTGCGCAAATGCTACTTGAACCTACTTAAACCACCCTTATTGTAATGGCCTTTTAGCCCTGACGATGCTGAGGAGTTCCCCCAGCGAAAGCTTGGCAACTTTTTAGTATAAGTATATTTTTAGTAAAGTATTCTTACCCTCCCGGTGATCGTGTTTTATTCTTTTATTCATATATATATGAATGCTGCTCAAAGCACGAAGCTGAAAGCACCAGCCTGAAGATGACGAATGGGACTTCGTCGAAACGTCGCCAAGACACTTCCAATTTTACGTGGGAGAAAACCCGAACAACCAAAGACCTACATACAAATACCCGCGAAAACCTCAGAAAACAAATATATATATATATATATATACACACTAAAAATTATATATATATATATATATATATATATATATATATATATATATACTAGTTATTTTAACATTCAATCTTTATATACAATCAATGTCCTAATTAGTTTTTCCCAATTTTTAGTTTCCAGTTAATATTATTAACTTTAACATTTAATATTTGTAATTTTAAATAACCACAGTTCCCTTTATCACAATTCATCGCAAAATCTAATGTTCAGGATACACATCTTATCTATTTGAATATATTCTATTTCTCGCCATCTTACATCAACTAATTAATAATACAGTTTAACATTCTTATTTTCTGTTAATTTCCAAATGTCTTAAATTTAGTAACCAAAATTTCTCTTATTTCAACATTTAATACTTCCTCTCTTTTTCTCTTTGATGTCTACTAACTCATATTTAAGCTAATAGTTTTTATTATAACAGCTAAGTAAAAATATATTTATTACATTCATCAATAGAGTTTTAGCTTATATATATAATTATATATAATCAATGAATGTAATAAATATCTTAATTACTTTTACATTCAATCTTTATAAGCAAATCAATATTCAAATTTAACTATTTATATTTATACTTCCAAGTTTTAA